GCAGTGCTGCATTTAACCACTGCGCCATAAAAACAAGCATTTTTATGCACTCTCCCACCATTGGCAACTTGAAGATGTGTGGACTTCAACTCCCAACTTGCCAAGACTGAGAAATAATGACAAAGGCTGTCATTGAAAGCCCTAATGACATTCAGTTAAAGGCATCTCCCACCCCTGAATCATTTCCTTTTTTATAAGCACAAAGCAGATCAAGAGCAACGTTTACACAACTGTGATTTTGTTCAAGTGCTTTTAAACCCCTTGCAGCAAAATTTGTCTTTCTGCCTATAATTCTAAAGAAGGGGGGCACAAGTGATACATATCACTAGAATGAGTGCCACTGAGAAACAAATAGAAGTTACTAACATAGAATTTTGAAGTTTGCGAAAATAAATTAAAGACAATTTTTTTAAAAAGCACAAATCGGCCCCTAATCAAAACAGTCATACATACTGTAGCATATTCATCATCTTTACTAGCCCAAACTAGTAAGTAAAGAGAAATGGAAGGAAGTATCTGACTTAAATATTTTGTTGTAGGCCTCTTTTACAATTATCATCACAATAAGGTGTGTTGTGGCCCAGTGGATGAAGCGGTGGAGCTGGCAGCAGATTCAGACAGTGAGGAGGTTGGGAAGGAACATGGGCCAGTCCTGGAGTCTGGGGAAGGCTCTGATGAGGGCTCTGTGTTGGAGGCAGAGAGGGGGCCAGAACTATATACCAATTATCAGTTACCTTCAGCGTCAGACATCAGTGAGGCAGACGAACAGCTGGAGCCTATTCCTGTGTGTGCATGCACAGAGTGGACAGGCGAAGGGAACAGCTAAATAATAGGTGTCGATTTGGGAGTAGGGCCACAGGTGGATGATGAATGACCCCTCCCAGAGAAAATAAAAGAAGAGGGAAAGGGGAGTGGAATTTGCAGGAGACAATTAGTTTGCTTAATTGGTTTGTGACTCTCCGAGACGCCTTCCAAGTTTTGCAGATATCAGCCTGTCAGCTCTGCAAGCCAGATAAGGTCCGTGACTGTAAATCCTCCTTTGAAAGCCTTTGTTGGATGTGAATGAGCAGAATTCACAGTAAATTAGTAAAAGGGTTTTTTGTTCAGGACCAGGAGTTTGCTGCATGCTCTTGGAAAGCCTAGATCAGAACAAGGTGCTGGCACCACGACCAACAGTAAATCTATATCATTTCTTGGAGAGTTGTGCTCTTATTGAAGTTCAAGTTGCTCTTATGGTGCATCTTTTATTTCCTTTATGTACTTTATCGCATCATTTGCTCATTGGTCTTATAGAACACATTTTACCTGGGCCATAGCCCAAGGTCAGTGACCTGCTTTGCAAGCAGAAAATTCTAGATTCCATCTCTTCGGTATCTTCTGCAGGTTATGAGTGGGCAACCTGCTGCTTTGAGCTCTGCGCTGATTGCATAGCTGAATATCAGTTCTGATTGAAACCAACTGAGAACACGATTTCCAACTGTATGAAGTAGGGAACATAACACATACAATTAAAGGCCCTATTTAGGGATTTAGCACAATTAATATTAAAAAAAACCTTGTCAAATACAGAAAAAAAAAACCACAGCCTTGCTAATGGCGTGCTCTAACCCCAACTCTTTGTTTCACTACTATCTCTTTCTGACCTTCACCTTTCCTCCCAAAAAACACTGTGGATCCCCCGCAGGTCACCTGCTAAACCTCGTATTCCTCTCGGAGCAGTGGAAGCGTGATCTAGAGTTGAGGGGTATTAAGATCTTGCCCTTGTCATGGTCTGATC